GAACAGGTGAAGATTGGGGGTTTTTAATGTCACTTTTTTTAAAAGTTAAGTAAGGATAGTGATGTGTGGTACACATTCACCCCTATGGTTTATCAATACTAATAAACCTGATAATAATGATTGTTTAGCTTGTGTCATCATCAGGTATTGACATTTACTAAATATTTTCATGTTTTACATTTAAGCAAAGTATACATCTTAAATGTCTTGAACAGTTGGTTGAAATAATGTCACTGCCCAGCATAAAAATTATTTTCATGTGACATTTTGACACAAAAGGCAAATCTGTCCACCTACTTAAACGTTAACCCCTCTGCAAAAATGTAAAAAAAAAAAAACTAGTTAAAACACTGTAATCAAGTGGAAAAGTCTTATCTCACTGGCAGATTGTATATACCTAATCATAAAATTATTGTGAGAAAAATGACCTGAATCTCCCTCAAAAGAAAATCCCACTGGAACATATGTGGGTTAGTAGTTTAGTAATAAAGGTTTTAAGTAATATAACATAACACTGTTTTAATTGACCACATTTTGAGCAGAGAAATGCCAATTCAATGCAGTTTAAAACAGTGAGTGTGTCCTCAGATCATCCAGCAGACAGTTCCAGAGTCTGGATGCATACAAACTAAAAGCAGCCTCAGTATCGATGTTAACTGTCAGCACAGGTTGACAAGCTGTCATAGTGTCTCTAAGACACCCTGATAACAGGGACAGCACACAGACTGCGTGATGCTGCAGCAGTATATGAATGCTACCCTGCAGAAATAAAAATAACAAAATTTGCAAAGTCCCAGTGAAAAGGGAGCCACTCTTGAAACATAGATTTATTTTAGGGATGCAGCTTAATCCTCACTTAATTCCTTTTTTAGTATTGATTAATCTGGTTATTTTCAATATATTAAATCTCAATGAATAGATTTTCATTTTTGATTGAATAATGAATCATTTGGTCTGTAGAATATCAGTAAAAAATGCCCACCCACTGTTTCCAGTGTCTTGTTTTGTATTTACAGTTTAAAACAATGATACCCAGTTTGGGCAAAAAACATATTCATATTTGATAAGATGGAACAAAATTTTTCAATTTTTGCTTAGAAAATTTATTACATAATCAATAGATTATCAAAACAAGTTGCAGATAGATTTTCTTTCTTTAATTTGTAGATTTGTCCATGCCTCATGAGGACCCACAGGTCAAGAGGCCGAGAGGTGAGGAAGTTATACCCTCTTACCATCTCAGATGCTAAAACACACACACACACACACACACACACACACACACACACACACACACACATCTAAAGCTCATTTTATTTCCTACACACTAATGATCAACACCTCTCTCCCTGTGCTCACCTGTTAAAAGATTACAAACCTGTTAGGTAGTACAGCTCCACCTGTTTTCTAGATTGAACACAAGCAACATTGTGATTTTCAAGCAGACTTTCTAGCTAAGACACTAATTGTCTCCTTGGGCAACAGGGTGCAAATTATGTCTCTCCCCTGTAGTAGAAATCAAAAAGATTTAACATTCAACTGTGCAGGTCGGCGGGGTTGATTTAAATATGAATAAGCTTCCTGAAATGAGAAAAAACAGTCCAATAACCATAAGAAACACCAGCAGCTGGTCATGTCATCAGTATTCTCCCTCCTCTCCTGTCTCTACACAAGTGAAGATGAGGAAACTCTTGACTGCGTGCAATAATCATTCTGTGACAGGCAGTCGCCCTGTGGTGCTCTTCAATAAACGGGTCATGCTGCCCTCTTGTGTCTAGTTGGGACATAAGTAGAAGGGATTTAAGAGAAAGTCTCAATCAGGGGTCAATCTAAAATCTTTCTCCAGTTACTCCGGTTGAACTGCTGTAAATTGAGAGGTTTATAGCTTTATATAATAGAAATTCTCAGTACGTTCAAAGAAAAAGCTCTTTCTCACACACACGCATACACAATGTCTCTCTCTCTCTCTTTCTCTCTTTCACAGAAGAGCCCTGCGGACAGGTTTATCCTGTGATGGTCATTCCTGTGCGCTCCACTGCGTTCCTGCAGCGGGATAAGCTGCATCCCGTGCCTGGCTACGGCAGCATGTGACCGGCTTGTGATCCCGAGGTTTGCGCAAATGACTGTCTGCCCTGAACCCGACTGTACCAATCTGCAGATCCTGGAGGAGGCAAAGCATATGAGGAAAAACATCTCTCTCACTCTCTCCATTCCTCGTAGTCTCCACATTCCTGGGTTGTGCAGATGATCGTCACGCTGAACCATGTGGGACAGCTGATGAGGACAAAGGCTGTCAAAGACTTACTGTATTCCATTATTTTGTAGGCCCTAATGAAATGTGTCTACCATTTTATACCTTTATTGTTGATTCAATTCACATTTTATATATTATTAATTGTATAAACAGTATTTATTCTCAAAATAACATTATTGCCACCATGATATAAGGGTGTGCTGTAAGTAACCCACAGTTACTCTAGTACTGTGGCCCACTTTAGTACAATTCTAGGATACTTTACTGTAGTATTTATACTTTTAGTCTACTTCACTACTTCAGAGAGACTTGTTGTACTTTTTACTCTAAACCTTGTTTGACAGCTAGTTAATATTTACTATTGCAAAATGAGATCAGGTTATACTGCCAGCTGCAAATGCATAATAATAATTCAATAATATAATATATAATAATGCCACACTGATACACTTAGTATTCTGCTGCATAATAATGCATTTACCTTTTGTACTTTAAAAACATTTTGCTATCAATACTTATGTACTTCTATTTAAGTAAGACTTTGAACATAAAGTCTGCCTGTGTACAATGTGTACAGTGTTAGTAGCACATGAAAAGGCTGAACTGCTGTTGTAATTTTCACCAGGGAAATCTCTTCTCACCTACACATTACTGGAAAGTCAAAAGTGCAGCAACACAGAGGTAAAAACATTTCATCATAGAAGAAATACCAAAAAAAGCACTCAACAGTGTAGTTTTTGTCCTGCAGTGTGGAAATTAAAGGTTAGAATTTCCTTCTCAAGACTGTAAAACACCAGTGACATTAAATATTTTTTTGATGGAGCCATTTGCACGACTTTCTGTTTTTACTGTCAATGATATATGGCTGTTTTTCGGTAATAGAATACGAGGAAACTGCCTATTATAATTTATGTGGAATGAAATGGGATTGAAACGTACATTACTATGCACAACATGTAAAGTCCTAAATCAAGTGAATATGCTAACAGAGTTGGTCTGAGGGAAGGAAGACGTGCCTTCGCTTCAAGGGAAAAGAAATTATAGCATGTTCCCTTTTTATCAAATAGAATTAAACTTTTGTGCTGTAAATGTTACATAATGTAAATAACAATGTCTCAATTTGTGCTGTCTTTTTCAACCTGCTGTTTCCAAGAATTGTCAGATATTGTTAATGCCCTGGGCAATAATTAACACTATGGTGTACTTTGTATTGCCCTTTTTAAATTATTGGATTCTGTTGATAATAATATTTTACAAGAAAAACTATTCTTGATAGAACATGATGTCCTACAGTCCATTAAATGCAGGGGAGTTAAGAATATAGGGTGATAATACATACAATACATAGTTGAAACTAATTTATTTTATGCATATAGATGCATATGTTAATAGCAAAGCAATATTCATAAAACATGTCATAATATTAGAAGTAGTTGTAGTAGTAGTAATATAAATATCAGTTATGTATGTGTAAATATATAAGTCATAAAAATACTTCAACATTGCAACAGACAATTGAACATGCTAATAAATATGTTTTTCCTTTCGTTTCTTTTACTTCATCACAAATACAAGACTGGATGCCCTTCAATGCTATAGTTTCCTCCAGTTCCAAATCAAATGCTCTTGAAGAGTCTCACAAGGGTCTATTCTTGGTCCTCTTTTATACACATTATACATAAATAATATCATCTCTGTATGCTATTCACAAGGTCAGTCAAGAGTATCCAGCCTACTGTCCCTATTCATACTCTTTAGGGTTCTTAAATTGTTGTAGAGTGTTATAAATATTTGAGAACCTGGCTAGATAGTAGACTTACTTTTAAGACTGAGAAGACTGAGATGAAGGTCAAAATTATATTTGTGTATTCAAACACACATTGGCCCATGCCCTAACTCCATCATGCTTTGTACAATCTACAATTATGTCTCTTGATTATGATGATTTTATGTATATGCATGCCTCTCCCTCCGCCTTGAAGCCTCTTGATGCCGTTTGTCACAGTGTACTTCACTTTATCACAGGATAAATTGGTGAATATGAAAAGGTGGGATTGTCCTTCTTAACTGAAATAGTACTATTAATAAAACTATTATTTATCCTAAAAAATTTTTTTAAAAAACATCCTTAACAACCAGATTCACACAACACAGTGTAATGCCTGTTATTAGCACCCCAATCTGGTGATTTCCCCCACCCTTCCTGCAGCGTAAAGGCAAAGCCAAATTGGGTGGACTTAGTGAATACACTCATGAGCACTCAATTCAACCTTAAAGTCATTGTGGCACAAGACTATACTGTGTAATATCAGTTGTCCACCTTGTTATATTCTGTTTCTTTTTCATCTCTCACTTTTTTTGTCACAATCATTCATTAATTCCGGGCCAGACTTTGCCAAGGGGAGGGGGTAGTGCTCACACACACACACACACACACACACACACACACACACACACACACACACACACACACACACACACACACACACACACACACACACACACGCACACACACACACACACATTTCTGCCTGAGGTATAGTGGAGCAGAGGTCAGCTGGTCTCAAGACAAAATGAAAGGAGAATCAGGAATATTATCCTAAGCATGTGATGGTGTGTGAGTGCACATGCTTGTATGTGTGTGTGTGTGTGTGTGTGTGTGTGTGTGTGTGTGTGTGTGTGTGTGCCTTACTGAGTGCGTAAGATCACAGTGAGATCACACACTTTGTCAGAGGACAGCCAAAGAATAGGAGACTTTAGTCTGGGTCTGAGAGTGAGGTGGAAGGAGGTTTGGTAGAGGGTTAGGTAGTAGCATAGAGGGGTAACAACTCGAACCTGCAAAAGTAAGTTAGTAAGTGGTTGCTTGTATAAATACAGGTACCTGAAGAGTGTGTAGTTTTTTATTTACTCTCTCAATCTACCACAGAAGCCACCTCTAGATTAACTTTGGTTGAATGTGCAATCCTGTGTTTCTCTGCTTGTAGCTATCAAGAAGTAACTTTTTGGAAGTGAATCTACTCATCTGTGCTGTGAGTGTGTGAGGGCATCAGGTTTTGTTGGGTCCATCTTTCCAGCAGAAGTTTAAATTCTCACTGTAGTCAAGACTGGAGTTGCTTTGACTTTTCATCATGAGGAGCCCATATGAATCTGTAATTCTGCTGCTGCTCACTGGGACTTGCTTATGTCAATTTCCTCGCCCATGTGCCAACTCAGAAGGACTACGGACCAAAGAGTGTTGCCCGGTGTGGGATGGTGACGGCTCAGCCTGCGGTGCACTGTCAGGCCGTGGTTTTTGCACTGAGGTGGAGGTCTCAAATGAGCCCCATGGGCCCCAGTACCCACACAGTGGGATTGATGACAGAGAGCGTTGGCCTTTGGCTTTCTTCAACCGGACATGTCGCTGTGCTGGAAACTACGGAGGTTTTAACTGTGGTGAATGCAGGTTTGGTTACTGGGGTTCAAACTGTGCCGAGTACAGGGAATCAGTGCGCAGGAACATCTTGACCATGTCGGCTGCTGAACAACAGAAGTTTATCTCTTATCTGAACCTGGCCAAGAACACCGTCAGCCGTGACTACGTCATCTCCACAGCGACAAGAGCAGAGATGGGTGAAAATGGTGAGAATCCCATGTTCTCTGACATCAACACCTACGACCTGTTTGTCTGGATGCACTACTATGTGTCCAGGGACGCCTTCTTGGGAGGACCAGGGAATGTATGGAGAGACATCGACTTTGCCCATGAATCTGCAGCATTTCTGCCATGGCATCGGGTCTACCTACTTCACTGGGAGAACGAGATAAGGAAGCTGACGGGAGATTTCAACTTCACCATCCCATACTGGGACTGGAGGAATGCCCAGTCCTGTGATGTGTGCACCGATGCTCTCATGGGAGGACGCAGCCCCTTAAATCCTAACCTCATCAGCCCTGCTTCAGTCTTCGCCTCATGGAAGGTAAGAACATTTTATTTGTCTCTCTCTAACTTTGAGTGTCTGTCTGTGTGTGTAAGATTGCATGTTTGAGTGTGTGTAGATGTATGAGCAAATCTCTCTTATCCATTAAGAGACTGAAAATTCCTTTCCACGACAAACAAACAAAGGCTTGTTTTATTTCCATTTCACTCTGTTGTTCTAAAGCTGGTTAGTCTTTTAATACAATGAAATTAGAGATTTGGTTGGAAACACAAATTTTTTAAAACATTCATCCTCAAGTGATCCAACCAACACGAAAGATCAGAGTGAAAATCTTACTTCAGAGGCTCCACATCCTAGAAAATGTATCGAGACAGCAACTTGTTTCTGAGTTATTTAGAGAAATCTTATAATTGTTTGTACTTCAACTAACAATCGCCCTTTCTTACTGGGTTTAACATTATTCAGAGTCTTAACTAATATTTGAATTTGAATATCTGAATGAGATTTTACTCAACCCATAATGATGGATATGGTTTTATAGAGGTCTATAGGCTCTGTGACCACAGTAGTCCACTAAAAGTGTGTGTTTATATGTGTGTGTGTAGGTGATCTGCACCCAGCCAGAAGAGTACAACAGCAGAGAGGCATTGTGTAACGCTACCGGTGAGGGTCCACTGTTGCGTAACCCTGGCAACCATGATCCAAACCGTGTGACGCGACTCCCTACAACAGGTGATGTGGATTTCGTTGTGGGCCTCACCGAGTACGAGACGCAACCCATGGACCGATTCTCCAACATGAGCTTTAGAAACGCCTTAGAGGGTATGAGTGGTACACACACACACACACACACACACACATTTGTATTACTGTACATGCTTATCCATTGAATCTGAACCTAATCCTATTCTAATCTATGTGATCTAGTTAATGAGTTTTGGCCCATTTGGTTCCATACAGTGGTAGGATTTACAATTACATCTGTATGTGTGCATACATTCAAAGAGAAGCATGCACACACAGAGACTTAATGTAAACCTACAGTATTATTAGTGAAACACAGACTGAAACACAACCAGCACCCATAACACAGATACTCAAACCATGCATCTTACTAAAACATTACAATTTATGTTTTGACTGAGTAATTTCATTTTCTTGGTTTATAGTGTTTTATTTAAGCAGTATCATGTTGCTCAAGCTCAATATTTTTTTTGTCCACATTAATGTCTAACTCATAGTCTTACCTTGAAGCATTTTCAATGAACGTCACTGAAAAAGAGTCAATTTTACTGCTTCTTCCAGTCAATGGCTCTCAGCTGGTCTTAAGCTCAATGAGTCCCTTGCTTGTCAGTGTGTTAGAAATCATTATTGCAAAAGCATCCAAAAGATGTGAGAAAGAGCACTTGAAGCACTTTTAGTAACTACACTGAACGTATTCAACTCTGTCAAAATGCCACCTTTAGTCAACAGAGTTCCTATTAAGAGAAGTAACACACATATCTCTGTTTCTCATCTCCCTCCCTTATGTAAATATCTATACCTCTCTCTATTCTCATGTGCATGTTTTAACTTTTCTTCCCTCCTACAGGTTTTGCCAATCCAGAGACAGGTATGGCAATGGCAGGCCAGAGCACCATGCACAACGCTTTGCACCTTTTTATGAACGGCTCCATGTCCTCAGTGCAGGGTTCAGCCAACGACCCCATATTCCTGCTGCACCATGCTTTCATTGACAGGTGTGATAATACACACAGACACAATTTTTTAGCTATTTTAAGTTACAAGTGAAAAGTGTTCTGCTGATGTTTGTGTTTCTCTTATGCTGATGATGGTGAAGATTCTACCTTTCTTAATTAATAATTTTCTCTTTCTGCGTCTTCCTATATCTATTTGTCTACCTCCTTCGTTCCACCATTATAATTTCTCTGTTCCTTCTCTTCTCCAGTATCTTTGAGCGCTGGCTCAGGACCCACCAGCCTCTCCGGACCAGCTACCCACGTGCCAATGCCCCCATTGGCCACAATGATGGGTACTACATGGTGCCCTTCCTGCCTCTCTATAGAAACGGAGACTACTTCCTGTCTAACAAGGCTCTAGGATTTGAGTATGCCTACCTGTTGGACCCTGGTCAGTACAGGAATAACAAACATATCTATTAACTAAGTGCTTCTACAGCTTTTCCTTTATGTCAATCTGTCCCATCCTGTGTATCTCCACTACAGGCCAGAGGTTCGTTCAGGAGTTCCTGACACCCTACCTCCAGCAGGCCCAGCAGATCTGGCAGTGGCTCCTGGGAGCCGGGATCCTGGGGGCGCTGATCGCCGCAATCATTGCTGCACTGTTAGTTGTTGCAAGGAGGAAGTGGAAGCGCAACCAGAGGAGGAAGAGGGCATCGAGCTACGGAGAGAGGCAGCCTCTCCTGCACAGCAGCTCAGAGGAAGGCTCATCTTCATATCAGACTACTCTGTAACACACACTGACCCTGTACATACAGCTGAATGTACAAACTATTAGGGACATTTTCATGAAGCGAAGGAATGCGATGGGTCCTGGTCCAAAACTTGTTACTGATGCCCCGTAATAAATCTATTTAAAATTTAAAATAATATATGAAGGTATACAAGTTAGTGAAGTATCTTTCAGTTCACCCAAACCACAAGAAAACACTACACTACTAATTTTCCACTACCTAACATATTGCGTGTTACTGCTGAGACTTTTGCATCCCAACCCCAAGTGAATTTTAGTTGTGGTTGCCATAGCATTAAAAAATGTAACATGTCTTTACAGCTTGTTTACAGTTGGTCAAAGGTTTTTGAACGCTTTTAAGTTTTTGATGCAACGAAAAACTACATTTTATTATTTACTTCCAGTGTTTTGGGGATGTATGGTCTGAGACAATTTAAATGGAGAATATGGATGAAGAAGCAGGAAGCCAACACCAGGAAGATGTCCCAAATATTTTAGACATTCAGTAGATAAATATATTTTTGTGTGACACAAACTGACAGGCTTTCAGAGCCATTAAGTGTTCATTATAACAATGCAACACATCTGCAATAAAATGAAAATGTAAAGATTTATAAACTACAGTATTTTCATGTGGGTATTTAAACTGTGATGAGGTGAAAGCACTACTCAGCAGTCAACTGTGTTTGGATCAGCAAAAAATGTGATGTTATGCAGATATTCCTTGCTTGGCAACTTTTTCTTGACTATCCTCCCTGACCTGAAACACAGATGCACATTACATAATTTATTATTTGAGTATTGTATGGTACTCTATTTGACTGTGATTCTGCTTACAAGATACTGTATGTAAATACTGTAAGTTTACTAAAGTATGGCAAGTTAAAATTCCATTAAATTTACTGTAGGTCAAGGAAAGGTTAGAGGGAAAGGAAGTATTTTAGATCATTTAAAGGCAAGGTCTGCTGTGATGTAGCTGCAGTGACTGCTCAGGGTGTTAAAGTCACATTATTTGCACCTTCATCTTAATAAGTCAGTATCAGAATTAAAAGTTAAAGCTGTGAATTTGACAATTCACAGATTTCCCTCATTTTAAACAGGTTACACACTGTGACGCACTTTGACAGCGATACTCTACCACACCCTCATGTGTGTGGTAGCACTGGTGCTAAAGAAAATGTAGGTAACAAAGATGAATCATGAGTTTATACATTAAAATATGACTTGATCCAATTTTTCTCTGTGATTTATTTCTGATCTGTTGATTATGCAGAAAATGCTGACAAAACAAATTCCCTGTCATCATGTATTTTAAATTAACTGCGAAAGAATGCATTTTACAAGTATGGTAGCAGAAATTTGAATTTAATTAATGTTGTCTTACTTAGTTAGCTACAGTCTACACTGCCGGCCTTTATAATAGGTGTCATTTTGAATATTGAGGAGCAATTGTTTAATTTGTGGCTACTTCACATTATCACTGAAATAGTGGGGGTTTTATTGGCCCATTTTTTGGTCAGTTCATCTTTTATGACTACTTTAAATAATAATTGTGACGGCCCTAGGGTTGTTTACTTTCTTTGTTTCAGGAAGTAGGGGGTGGAGCTGAGATCACTCCCTGATGCAGCTCACCTGAGCAGGCTGGGCTCAGGAGGCTATAAATCAGACCTGCAAGGCTTTCTCAGTCTCTTCCCCTGGCCTTCTGACTGAACTGTTGGTTTTTGTTTACATTCATACATATACACCTCAACCTTCACTCACACAGACATTGCAGACATACTGATTTACTGATAGACAGATTAAACTGTATTGATTATTTTGTATTTACATAATTAAACTGTGTTAACCATTCACTGACTGTGTGGTCTCCCTCTTTGTCACACTATTTGAGCCAGGTTGTGACATAATCTTCTCTTTTTGCTGAATTTCACAATTTTAGAAATAGCTTGTCTGTTAATACTACTGAACAGTTGATGTTTGTCAAAATAACATTGTTTTATAAGTATATGCTTGTGACCATGAATTACATAGTCCAGGATCATAAATAGAAAACATTTTCACACTTTCGAGCAATTGAGATATAATAAATAGAAATCTCTTTTATTTCAGACTTTGCCTTGTTCTTAAAAATGGACAATCCTGAAAATAGACATACAATTCAACATTTAAATATATTTAAATTTCAAATGCTAAATTACAATTAGCTCATTACAATTTGAAAGAAAATGGTTGAAAAAATATCAAGATGTTGATTCCTTGTAGAAACCTGCTGTTTTTGGCACTTTTAAAATAACAGCTGACTCTAAAACCCTACAACTAAAAATGTAGTGTCAAACTTGCCAATTAATTAACTTTAACTTTAACTTTAAATTAATTAACTTTACTTTCTCAAGATACAGTATGTGAAAAAAAAAAAAAAAAAAAAAAAAAAAATGACGACACCTACTTTGTGGAAAAATTGCCAAAGCCCTGCAGAAGTTTTTCACATAAAATAAATGTAAACAATATAAATAAATTGAAAAAACAACTAGCTAAAAATACTGGCTTGAGGTGTAGTGTAGGTTTGCCTCGATACACATACATCAACAGGGAAGAGATAGTTACACAACTAAATGAAAACAAAGAATGAATATGGTGTCTGTTTTGGTTCCACTCTTCCCCAAATCACCTCAGATTCTGATGAGTGACAATCAAATACCTATCAGATACTTAGTAGTGTCTCCCAGCTCAGACACAGGAAGTGTTTACTCTTCGAGGTGGGACTCTAAAGCAAACCCAGCTTCCATGAGTGGGACATACAGATGAAGATCTATAGAGAGCTAAATTCCTGTACCCCTTTACAGCTTGTTTCTGTTCCAATTGGCTTGTCAGATTATGTATTTTTCCCATAAAGCGTTTCTATTATTGGTCTTTCTGAAATATTGGGTTTTCTATAAATTTTCTAAGATCAATGGATCTTTATTAATAGAAGGGTAAATTAAATTTGAACTAGTTGTAATTTTAATCAAGATAAGACAATAATCATTTGGTCATCATTAATCGGCTCTTTTAGGGTTGTGACTACATTCCTACATACTGTAACACTAACAAAACAAATGTTTTATCAGTTGAAATTACAAGGAGCTAATTTTTTAATGTATTGTACAGAGGAAGATACTTATTTATTATGGATATGGGCAGAAAAGCAAGTGGAACAAAAGCCTGAAGTGGTACAGAGTGGGGAATTTGCTCTTTATGATCTAAACCTTATAGTCAGTAGAGCTTGTTGGGTGCCAGTTTGGTGTCAAGTAAATGTTAAATGAACTTTGTCTGTCATAGTGCTTTGGTTACCACAGTTTATCTGCCCAAGTGGCTCCACCTGGTTATTTAAGTAAACGTTTTTTGGTTTTTCTGTCTGGTCCCTGTGTGATGTTTCACTGCTGGTCCTCTGTAAAATGAATTTGCTCTTGTGTAATAGCATTATCTTGTTATCTGCTTGTGTTTGTGGTTGTGGAATTGCAGCGTGTGTCAGACCTTTTTCTCTCACATTAGACGCCAACAGGAGAAAACAAATTTGATCCACAGAGGGGTGTGGAGATGAAAGCCGACAGCAACTTTAGAAAAACAGAGAACCATGAGTGGAGAATCCGAGCAGTGAGCTGGTCACTGCAGTTTTTCTCAGAGGTGATTGGATCAGACGCTGAAGCTTTCAGAGCCTGCAGGTGGAGGTCAGGCTGGTCTGTAGAGAGGAACAGACCTCGTGCTGCATGATAAAGTCTTGTCCTGCTGGGCCTTTTGTGACCATGGTCAGGGATCCATATAAAATAGTAATATAGTCTCTGAATATTCAAGTTCTTTTGGCCTGTTTCAGTTGTTTGTTTGCAAATTCCTAGACGTGTCCAAAATATCAAGTAACCAAGATCAGCCAAAGATATTCCAAAATATACTTCAAAAAAAGAACAACAACCCTAAATGTATGAAAATCCATCCATCCCAAATTTACTGTGTTTTTCTGCAAGGTTGACCTCAAAGTGTAGTGCTAGCTCTGATGTTCGATCAGCTGAAGGATTCCTTGTTGAATTCAAAGGTCGTTCCAGAGGATCGGGCTGAGTTGCACAGTCTGTGGAGAGTCCTGGAGATGCCCTTTGGTCCACAGCAGAAAACCCCGACTCGCTTACTGCAACAACGGAGAAAGTAACATTGTGGGATGTCAATAGTAAATAGAATGCATGAATAAATCAAATTTCTATTATTGTGTCATGGATATAGTTAGCCCCAGCCCTTATGGTCTTACAAGACACCATATATTCATACAGGCCAGGACCAAAATGCAGCATACACTTTTAAATTAATAAGAGTGGGTTCTTACTCCACCCCTGTACATCTTTCACTGTACTCACTGCTTATTGGTCCTCCCAATCTCATCAAACAGTAACTTCCACCTGGGTCGACCAACCAGCAGCCTGGAGGTGAGCGGGCGGTACTTTTCGTCGGACATGCTCTGGAAAAGAAAATATCCCATTTTTTATTAAACCTGCAATAAGCTGGCCAGTTGGAGGCAGTGAAAACAAAGCTGTGAACTCAACACTGACATATTATCAGTTTTGAAGTTGAGATGTCGAACTTACAGCAAATTAACTGAATCACCATTTTAAGTCAATTCAAGTCCAATAGTCACTCTCATTTTAGCTTAGATTTTGGTCTCTATCAACTCCTGAGGGAAATATCTGGCTCTGCTATGTCACCAGCTAGTCGCTAACTGTGTCTGCTGTTTGATGCTGAACAGATAGTGTACACTGGCTTTTCAGAGCATTTTCGCTGAAAACAGCTGCATGAAAATGTCGCTATGAGAGCGATGACAGCAACAATGAGCTTAAACTCTCTATAGAGCCTTTTAAAGCTGTGGGGAACAGCAGTTGAGTGGTTCAAAAACGTTCATGTTAACACTGCTACAGGAATAAGTGACACACACAGCAGCAGATTGATGACGCACATCTATAGGTTAACAGCTCCCAGTCTGTCATGATAAGAGGTTCTCCATCTTCCTCTGCCTCCAGTCCCTCCACTTCTCTTGCTTTCTCCTGCTAATCTACACACTGTAGCAGCCTGTGCTCTCTAGTTTAATAATCCATTAAAAGTTACCTGTAGTGCAAACAGCTGTTGGCAAAAGCAAAGTTTCTCGAAAGTTTCTTAATTAGTTATTTTAATGTATTTATAATTAGTAATTCAGCATTATATTTGTTTGTTGTAAATTATTATTTAATGTATTGTGTAGGTGGCAGAAGATGTGTCTTACTTGTCATTAGTAACACCATGGACTTAATAGGCAAATATGGTTATATTTTTAATGCAGACTGCATTATCCATCTTCAATGTAAAGAGGAGATTTTTACAGAAACAAAACAATGTTCAGTTTGTGTGTCAGACAAACTAAATAAACTCACTACATCTCAGGCTATTTCCACAGGATTGGGTATAAGACAAAGGTCAGGCAAAACGTCATGTCAATGACTTCTGTGGTAAACCAGATCCTGGCAAGTCCTGAATCAAAGCTTTTTCACAGAGCAAATCTGATACAAGTCATGATCTTTCTGTGGAGGGGCAAGGCAACACTGATTTCCTGCCTGTCTTACAAACCAAGATCAATAAAGCTGGATGTCGTGAAACAAAAACATGGACAAAAATAAATCGACTCCACAGCATAGCACAGTTGACTCACAGTGGTGCTGCTTCCTTAGACAAGCCTCTGAACCATGACAGACTGGTTTTATGGCTCGTAGTCACTCAAGGGTTAATCAGTGAACCATCAACGTGCTTTAAAAAGTACAAATCTCCCCGTCGGGGAATCGAACCCCGGTCTCCCGCGTGACAGGCGGGGATACTCACCACTATACTAACGAGGAGTTGCGGGCCAAAAACCACATGACCAAAAAAATAGGAAGTCAGCAACATCAGATGGATTTTTGAATAGAGATATATGGGTTGACTTTTCTCACCAATATGCCAAAAGAATGAATGAAATCAAGACTTCATTCTTCATCTGTCTTGAATCCTTGTACCCATACGTTTGTACAACAATAGAAAATAAAAGCTATTGTAATACATTCATGGTTTCTATTAGCTGTTTGTCACACCAAGAAAAGGTGACGTTTGAAATAAGTGGATTACTACAGAAGCATACACACTGAAATAATGTGACACAAATACTGTAAAGTTCAAAGAGAGAACAAGAGACAGTCAACTCAAGAGCCGATGTTAGACTTTAGTGTGTGTCTCTCTCTGTCATATACTGCCCTCTAGTGGGGTAGGTTTCTAATATACTGCCAAAATTAAATATATACAAACATACAAAGTTAGTAGTGTGTGTGTGTGTGTGTGTGTGTGTGTGTGTGTGTGTGTGTGTGTGTGTGTGTGTGTGTGTGTGTGTGTGTGTGTATGTGTGTGTCACACTTACCTGCAAGTTGTCTGTCTGACTGACAAACAGTTTCAGATTAAAGTAGTCTGGTCTGTTTTCTTGCCAAAGCTAAATGACAAACACAAACATTTCAGTGTTTAGTGATGCTGTGATGCATTGGGTCTAATTCAACAAAGTGATATGTGCAATAAAAAGCAACAATTAGATTTATTTGGAATAGGAGAGAAAGTATCACTAACATCCACAAGATGGCGTTAAGTACAATAAATCTGATTATAGTTTATATATTATATTTTTTCGGTTTGCTCCCTAAGCCATGAACAGTATACCTACAAAACAACAAAAACAACAACATTAAATTCAGAGTTGGAGTTATTCAGAGGTACCATGACCTAATGAGTGCTTATATTTAATCAGTCTATCAGGAAAACTTTACTGTAATAAGACTTTAAAAGCACAGGTGTCTCAGTAATGACTCCCCTGCTCATCTGCATTCTTTTACGTCTTTAACCTCTGACCTTCCTCTTCCACTTAAAACCCAGAAAACTTTCTTTGACCTGGCTGAAAGCCATCGCACACAGGGATGGAAAGTTCCTAGCGCTATTTAACTTCCATTTTCTGAATGAACAGTAAAACCGGGGGCATGCAGAGACATTTTGAGGGGCATTGTCTCAGTTCAAAAATGCCAAATAGCTATGTCCTTTCAAAAAGTGAATCTGCTGTCTCAATACTGACAATCAGGCAATCCAAAACACAGGATGCTGGTCAAACAATTATCAAATTCTGATTCTGAACCACATTATTAATTGAATTTTAATTCCCACATGTTTTGATGAATATGATATGTAGGCTATAGCATGCAGACTGTGTTCTGACCTTCTGATGCACGGCACACAGCAGCTCAGCAAACCAGTAGAAGGACTGAAGCTCCCTGCAGACCCACACAAAATACAATCTCTGCAACCTGAAACCCGTCCAGCCGTCACTGGGTGTATAGCAGGGAGGAAGGAAGAGAGAAAAAATATCATACAAATACTAAATACTCAATCTCTTCATCGTCTGTCAGTATATGATATTTTTTTCATAACTCACAGCAGAGCATGCAGCACGCAGGCGAACGGTGTGACTCCTATTCCACCCGCAACACACAGACTGACGTCGTAGTTAAACACCTCCTCTGATGGACTTCCAAAGGGACCGTCCACGTAAAGCCTGAACATACAGCGTGGACATGAAGACAATTAGCCCAGAAAATGGACAAAGATACACAAACATATATTTATACTTTGCCCTCATAGCCAAACACACATAAGCAGATAAACATCCTGCTTTTGAAATCCTGCAGTCTGGGTGCAGCTTGTGTATGTGAACAGACAGCTATCCCCCAAACACACACACACACACATCAGTCAGCTCCACAACAGCTGCTCAAACAATTGTGTAATTGAGAAAACACACACACACATACACTTACACACACACACACACACACACACACACACACACACACACACACACACACACACACACACACACACACACACACACACACACACACACACACACACACACACACACACACACACACAGATACAAAATCACAGGTCAAACATTTCTTACTGCATTACAGAATTATGTATGCTCTGAAAATGTAACACACGAAAACTCAAAATTGAGTCCAGAAGGGTTGGTAATGCTGCAGCAGCCTTTACACGCCCCTCCGCAGGGCCAAGTGAGTCTTGGCTCACTGTTACTGTCACATAATCACAACCACTGAAAAAAGGAAAATGTATTTCATGGCTGGTTTGACAGCTCTGCAATTATTAAAAAGTAATTTTTCACTTTTAATGTAGCTGCAGCTATCAGTTTGACCCTGTTTCAAGTTAAGCTAAACATGCTCCTGTTTCCATACTGAACACACATGAAGATGAAGATGAAACTAGGGTTAATATTGCAGATACTTTCCAAAATGTCTGACTGATCTTTTTACTTGGAAACAAAATAAAAGCATTTTGGGGTAGTTAAGGGGTTGATGGTTTTCATGTGACGTTAACTGTCAGTACTTTCTACTGTTCTTTTGCTACTTTGATTAATTATCCTGTTACAAAAGAAATGAAAATGAATTAATTTGTGTTAGTGGCCCTCTATCACAATTTACAACATATATATATATATGTACACTAGCTGCAGTATATCAGTAAATGGAAACTAACCCTAACCCTCACTGGTGCACAACTTAGCCCACTTAACAGATGGAGGGGGTTTATATTGGGGGGGCGAGTTTGATGGTTAGTTTAGCTCTGGTTTACTGTCACAAAACAAACTCTCGTTCCCTCCGAACCCACATCTCCCTCTCTATCTCTGCCTATCTCTCTCTCTCAAACACAGAGCAGGAAGAGCAGGGGGTCAGAGGTCAGCAGGTCAAAACCTCTGACCCCTCTGTGATTCTGAGCCTTCATGAGAAATCATGTCACTCACACAGTCACATGCATACGTAGAAACATACTTGGGGTATCTCCTCTGTCGCACCATGGGAAGAATCTCCAAGTCTATCCTCGGTTCAGGAAGTAACAGCTGTGTGAAACGCTCTGAGGAGAGGAGAGGAGAGGAGAGGATTTACATCCACTGATCTACCTCTTTAAGAATGAACATGTCATAGAGAACGCATACATTAGGAGTGCACAAATAGTGCCATATTTAGAGGTGTCTATGCATTCCAGTTCAGTGTTCTCCTTACAACATGTGGTCATGGCAGATTAAGGGGCCAACACAAACAAGCCGACTTCCCTTCCTGTGTTCTGAAAGCATGTGTGCGTGGATATGTACAGTAGCAAGTGGAAATGAGTATACATTGTTCTTGCTTATGTCACACGCTCCCAAAGGCCACAGCTTCCTCTAGCAGTGAGTCCCTTTTGAGTCTGCTGCATACCACTGCAGTCACATAAAAAAAGGGCAAGACAAAGGATAGTGTTTTTGCCAGTGAAATGACATCATTGACTTTTCTTTTCTCTCTCTGCCTATACTGTATGTGCATGTATGTGATTCTGCACACACACAAGTTTTGGAAGTCAAAAACATCCCAAAAAACTTCCAGTTTTCCAGCTCTTTAGTTGAAATCCTATAAGCTCCGTAAATGTAAAAAAAAAACTGTGTCTGTTTGTGTGTGTGTGTGTGTGTGTGTGTGTGTGTGTGTGTGTGTGTGTGCAGACAGAAAAGGACATACACACATAAAAATCTAGTTTTCAAAAATGCATCCTCCCCAGAGAGGAGAGAGAATGAAGAGGAAGAGAAAACAAAATGACTTCCGTCCTGTCAACTCTGATAGTGTGTGCATGTATCTCTTTGTCTGTCCTTTTATCTGTGTCCAAGTACCCCTGTATGTCTCTGTTGCGTGAGTGTGTGTGTGTGTGTGTGTGTGTGTGTGTGTACCCACCAGTCCAGTCTCCCACGACTCGGAGATGGATACCAAAAGTTTTCTTGTTCTCTGTGGGACACTGTGAGGAGTTAGACAACATACAGTGAGTCACAACAAAATAGACACACGCACACACAAGCACACACTGACATATACAAGTACACACAAGCATACACACTTAGTTGTTGGAAAGAACGAGAAAACACGTGCAACTAACACAAAGACATGCTCACACACATAACCCAGTGCAGATATACAGTACATTGCTACTCGTTTCAATAAATTTAACAATGCGCGCACGCACACACACACACACACACACACACACACACACACACACACACACACACACACACACACACACAGCCTTCCTGTTGGCAGACGGCATTACTAGCCTCAGGGGTCTGTCTGCTCTCTGTCAGTGTGATTCTCTGCCCTCCTCCTCAAAGCTCCACAACACACCAGGCATAGGCATTCATACTGCAGTGTGTGTGTGTGTGTGTGTGTGTGTGTGCCTATTCCTATATGCTGTCTAGGCAGAAAGTTACTTCTATGTCTTCTGCTTTTGTCTCATAAATTCTGGACTGAATCTAAAAGCATCAATAAACAATGTGAAACAGAATATCACTGGACAACCCAGCTGTCAATCAACCAGCAGTAGAGGGGGGTGGGCTGTTGAGGGAGACAAAGAACTGCATGTTCTTTGCCAGGGGGAAGAAAGTTTAAGATCCATAAAAACATATGTTTGTGTGTGTGTGTGTGTGTGTGTGTGTGTGTGTGTGTGTGTACAGAGTGTGTTTGCATTGTGTCATGAGTGAGGAATGTGTTGCATGAAGTCGTACCGTTGTTAGCGTGAAGGGATGGTTCTCAAATGAAGAGACACCTGGACAGTTAAGAACAATATACTGAGAAAGAGAGCGACAGGAAGATGACAGGAGGGGGGGAGAAAGACAGGATTAGAGAGGGGGCGTGTGGAGAGAAAAAAGGGGGAGAGAAACAAAGGTGGAGGCACAGAAAAAGGAACTCATCAGATGCTTAAGAATAAAACCCCAGTAAGTTACAGCAGTGAAAAAACTTAATAAGGCACAGATGTAACACAAACATCTCAAGAAAAACACACGTCATCTCTTCTCACCTGTCCTGGACGAGCTTTGAAGTTTTTCTTCAGCATGCGCAACTCAATGACATTACAGGGGTGCCTGATGACTGTTACTATGGTAACAGGGTCGTAGCTCCGGATGTAGCGGTAGAAACGCTCGGCACAGTAAAGACAGAGAGGACCGGACACCCAAAGCCATGTCTATTAAGACACACAGAGAGAAACAGGAAAAACTTCAAGTGTTAGACTGTCTATATCATGACGTTAACAACTAATTATTATTTGTTTTATACTACTATATTATTCGGTTTTGGGGTATAACATTAATGTATAAAGTGCGTCAAGAAGTTGGACCAGCCACTCATCTTGTTTAACATGCAGGGCTGCATCACACATTGCTGTAGACCTGCAGAGAGGTTCGCAAGTATAATTTCTACTTACAGCCTTCACTGATTAATAATGAATGAATAAAGTCACAATACCAAAATATTTTAGCACATCCGCTTCAGTTAACTCAATGATGCCACGATCACACCATTTTAGAAGGAAAACCTCGCAGTGGTTCTCAAACTGTGGGGGCGCAAACTTTTTTTGGCTTCTGAAGGGGGGCACGCCAGAAAGTTGAAGAACCACTGCCTTATACCATCTGTAAATGTGTACATACATATTAATGGTTGAGAAATCCAAGTATTTGCTCCAAGAGCTGGAAACAGTTCATCGGTTTCAACTGGCTGTTTTTACACGTGACTCTTGATACTATTCTGCTGTGGCAGAAATCTGCAAATGCGTGTGGAGATTTGTTTGTGTGAGGAGAGATTTGTCAGACATTGATATATATATGTCTGCATTTACAGATTTGTCCACACATTTACAAATATGAATACATTTGCAGATTCCTGTACACATTCACAAATCTCAGTACATATTTATATATTCTTTTTCACATTTACAAATCAGTTTACGCACACACAGATTGAGATACAGTTACACAACTCTCCACTCACATTTGGAATCAGGAGTTCTAATTCTCCCAACTTTCAAAACACAATCAAATTCAGCCAAAGAGAGTATATCCGTGTACCCGTGAGAGTACATGCACAGTCTCTCTATCTTTCTATCACAGTGTGTGGTTTTTATGTTTCTTTCTGTTGGCAGTTACCTGTTGCAGACTAATTGCTCACAGCTCCCATAAAGCCTGCAGAGCACAATCAGGTTTAAGGGGGATTTTATGGAACCAGCTCGTTGCTTAACGACCATGTGCAAACACATAATCACACACGCAGGAAGAAACGCACACAAACACAGGCCTTGATGTAAAAAGAGGATGCCTGCCCCTCCCTTACAGCACGTCACCTCTAATAAACAGGACCAACTCCCTCCAACACTTCCCAGATACTCAACACACACGTACAACACTTACACGCCCACTATAGCCCAGACACACACACACCCACGCACGCATGCACGTACGCAAGCACACACACACACACACACACACACACACACACACACACACACACACACACACACACACACACACACACACAGACAGACCTGGGGGTAGTGTGGCTGGAAGTGAGCCTGCTCTCTGCATGTCCTCTCTTCATCCTCACCCTGCTCCAGCTCGTCGCCGTGCTGCTCTGTGCTGCTGTGATTGGTGCCGACGCAGCCAGGAGGATGGGCCTCTATGTTGGTTTGATACTTCAGAGCTCCTCTGGTGGAAAAGACAACAATCAAGGTGATGTTTGTTTGGTTATTTTAATGTAACTTTCATGATTGCTGAGTTGTGGTTATTGAAAAAGAGGAAGTCACATGAAGGCTAATGAATGAAACTAATGCAGTTTGCAGTGTTACTTGCCTAATATGCCAGGATGGCAATATAGTGATAGTTATATTATAATACACTTTTTTAATGACACTGTGCCTTCAGCTTATCAAAATGTATAAAACCATCATCATAAAACCAAGGATCATGTGTACTAGAAACTTCTCTGTAAAGTAAAAGTGATTGTGTTTGTATGTTTTTGTGTATTCAGCCTGTGACCACAGCAAGCGTTGTTGCATGTTTTACCCCTCCCCTTATTTCCTGTCTGCCTCTTCACCGGTTACTGTCAAATAAAGGCAAAAATGCCCCTCTCAAAAAACAAATTTTGCCATTTGACAAGCTGTTAGTTAATATAACTTAATCACACAACAAAACTACACAAAGAAAACAGGCATGTACAAGCAAATCTTGGTTCTACAGTTGAATGACTGTCAGTGAAGGTAAGTAAAGACATTTCTAAACCCCGCTTTGTTGTAGTGTTGAGTGAGTGATATTTCATATTGCATAAGTCAATAAGATGCCATTTTTTATTAAATAAGTCAGTAAAACATTGCATGTTTTTTTTTATCAAATTGTACAAGAAGATTGTTGTGTTGTCAGTGAGTCTGAAGTTGCTGATAAAAATGTCCCCAGCATCAGTGGGAGTCTCTAATATTTGCAGACGTTCACATGTAAAGCAGACTCTTATCATGTCTTGTGGAGAGTGGCTGAGAAGGAGACACAATGTACCAACAGTGCAGAAACCCTCACTGACTCATGCAGAGATAAACCAACAGGCACACACAGACTTAGTGCTGCCATCAGAGACCTACCCGACCATGTGCACCATAAGGATGATGTAGAAGACAATGAAGAGGTTGTGTGTGTACCAGAAGATCTCATAGTTGGACACCCTGAAAAGACAACAGAGAGATAATGACCAAAACAGATATAAATGAGGACTAATTACATGGTAATGTGATATAAGGAGAATGAGAGACACAAAAAGAAGCAGAGACAACAAAAGAAGAAAGCAAAGTCAGAGTTTGTTCAGGACCAGACTACCAGGTCAGAGCCTGAGTAAGCAGGACATCACAGGTCAATATTAAAGGGGTCATTACACACGATGACCCCCCATAAACACTGCAAACAATGCAGAACATCATCAGACCCTGTATTCATCCTCTTTGACTACAACTTCTTTCATGTTTTTTTCTTGTTTCTGTACAGGGATGACACTGAGCAGCGAATGTGTTGACTTCATAACATTTATAGGAATTTGCTAAAGTTAACTGAACCTGCCCATTGATTTGCTGGCACTTTGGTTTAAGAGTAATCTTTCCTAAGCTGGTGAAAGTAGCAAACTAATAGATTTAACTAAAAGTTAAATAACCAAATATACAAGCAAAAAAAGTATGAAATGAAACACATTTTATGACTGGCTTGAATTTAAATCTCTCAATTTATCAGAATTAAAGCCATATTGTTTATACTTTGCTTATATTTTTCAGTGCTCTGGGCAAACAGGAGCAACAATGATGATTAGGTTACCTTTAGCTATTCAGAAAGCGATAACACATGGGTAATTCATCTTAATAGTATCCCTTGGAAACCTTGCTAAATGAAATTTGGTTTTGACTTTCTTTTGATAACATTATGATTGACGTAAAGCATAATAAACTTTCAGAGATTTAAAGTTAATACAATTAAGTAATCTTGAATTGTAATAGTCTGATCTTGTGTCAACAACCTTTGGCTATCTTCTGCTCACACAGACACACTCGACCGTGGTCCTTTTCCCTGCCTTGGCTTTTAGATGGATTTATTATTTCCTCTTTTATGGACATAGTAACTAAAAATTAAAAGTATGTTATTAGCGACAATGTTAAAGGTTAAACATGCTGATGCAAAGTATTGCAAGTTACAGAATAAGTTGTAAGGCTTAATGTGCGTTAATATCACTGGATCATTGTGACTCATTATACAGAAATTCTTCTGGTGTGAGGCGGCCTTCATCCCGCCACTGCAGCCACTTACCCAAACTCTTATCTAAAGCCTTAAGGGGTCTGGAAAAGCCTCTTATCCTCTGTCCAATTACTGAAGAAAGCAAAGCGAGTACATGCACACACACACTTCAAGTCTCACACACCTGCACTAGTTAACACACACACACGCACACATGCAGAGAGGGTGACCCACTATGACCTGAGTAATGACAGAGCTGCGAGTGGAACACTTAGTGGAGATTTTCTCTGTAACAGACCTCTGTTAGCAAGTCTCCTTATGGTTTCCATCTTGCACTTCTCCCACACAAGATAAACTCAGACAGAAAGACAAAGGCGAGCAGACATGACACAAAGACACACACATAGAGACAGAGACACATATACATAGGCACAAAACCCATGGTTGTATTAATGGGACTGGATTCCAGGCTCCAATATGGCTCCCATTGATTTCAATTAAAGTTGCTCACATGGCAAACAAACCCAGGTTTTCCCTCGAACATCCCCCAGTCATCACTGAGATGATTTTACGCATATATAATGTATATAAATGGTTTTCCTTGAGAAACTTTTACCAATGGCTGGTACTACAGCCATGTGCAGCATTCAACAAACTGTATCCAAACACATACAAACTATGATGATTTTGATTGTGGATGGTGGTTTGGTTTGACCTACCGCACACAGTAAGAGGAGGATGTGAACATCAGGAAGAGGATGAGAACCAACAGGACGCCTGTGACTCCTGGGACTATAGAGAATCAACCAATCACAGAGAAGACACAAAGTCAAGTCAACACCCCAGGACCAAGCTGAAACAATTTAACTTTAACTGACTTATTTTATCCACTAAAACAAGAACAATTAGAAATACAATAAGTTAGAAAGATAGGACTAAACATGGCAAACACAGCAGGACTTCCTCCAGTCCTCTCTAATCTACAACACATTTACCACCTCAGTTGTTACACATGCATATAAACACCTCTGCACACAATACTGTATAAGAAACAGCAGTCCTTCTTACTTGTGGTCAAAATGATCAGCTTGGGGTCCTGGGAAGGGAAACACAAAAAATAAATAATTGTTTGTGTGTGTAATCTTCTGTGTCTATTTTTGTGAGGTCTAATTTGACTTTCAGACCTTGCAGCTGCAGCTGCAGCCAGCTATGTACCATGGAGAGAAAACAGTCTGCAGGCCTCATTCCAACCAATCACTTTAGCAGGTGATTTCATTGCTAGTTTCTTCCTCCTTACTTCATTGCATGCTGATTATTCTTCATGGCACAGGGCTAACCAAGTGAGGACATTTTTGGAAGGTGTGTACACTTTCCTCACTTCTTCAAAGGGGTGATTAAGGGTTCAGAGTAAGGTTAAGGTAAGATCTGTGACACAGGTCCTTGTTAAGGTTAAGTTAGGGGCAAGGGAATGCGTTCAGTCAATGGGGGTCTTCACAAGTATAAAGTACAAATGTACATGTATTTGTGTCGCACCTCTCCTCTGTAGCGAGCCAGATTGAGAGCAGGAAAGTCGTCTGAGTAGCTCACACTGAAGTTGATGACATTCACCAGGTGGGCAGACACATGCACAACTACAGAAGAAGAGAAAGGGTTACACGGTACAGATTTGAAACACATTTTTGTGCACAGACAGCAGCAGACAGAGAACATCTCCTCTGCTTCAAACACACAAACACACCCTTAATTATAAAGGTCAAAATGAACTGCTAGCGGACACTCTTACAAACATCTCTTTGTCTATTTAGCAGAAAGTCAGCAACATCCTCCTGACTCACTGGTGCACTCACAAACACACACACACACACTCCTCCCTGACATCATAGACGAACCACGCAGCCGTTCGACAGCTGATGGAATTAGAGGGCGTAATCATGAGACACAAGGGTCCTTTTTTTCTCACTCACATCCTTTCTCACTCCCACTGCCTCCCACCCCTCTCTCCCCCTCTCTCTTTCTTCTCTCAGTCTATATCTCTCCCCCATTCCTGCTGCTTCTATGTCTTCATTGTCATTTGTTGTCTCAAAACTTTGGAACTCCGCTATTAGAACAGGAGAGATTTGCCTAAAGGGAAGAGATATGCGTGTGTTGGTGAGTTGAAATGAACGTTAATGATAGAAGCAGGCTCAAGCTTAAAGATGATGTAATAGTGACGAACAGATGCCAGCTATTCCAGTTCTTTTGTTTCTATTGGCTCTATGGATGGCAATGTTGATCGGCCACTCCACTAATTGTTAGGACGCATCCTGATGTTAGCATTTATCCACAAATCTGCTGTAAGAACAGCCTCACAGAGCAGCTAACATGGCTGGTAATATAATATTCATAGGTATGTTTTCATTAGTAGATGCCACTAAATCTTACACACTGGACCTTTAAACAGACACTCTCCTGATTTTACATGTCAAAGTCATTTACTTAGTCAGGGCAAATACAACTCAGCATGTGGAAACAATTGAATAATATCTTTATAATAAAGAAATAAATGCATTTATAACATAAAGTCTACGTTACCAAATGGACAGATTGAGTTTAAAAGACATAGTCATTTACCATGGGTGTAGTTTGACTGCATAAGAGAGTAAAGTCAAGATGCATCTCTTTTTACTCCAAGAATCATTTTAAAATCAATCCAGTCACCATCTTACAGGCTATCTGCTGGAGCAGAAATTCTTTAAGTTGTTGAACATTTTAATTCAGAGGTCCCTGATGAAATGTAAAGCTTTAAGAGAAGAAAAAATCTGCCTGGTAACAAAATGTTTTGTCTTTACAGGCAACACTAAGTGTTACACCCCAACACTCATCAGCCAATGTCACAATGCTACTAATCAGATCTTTAGAGCAGAACAGGAACTCTATACAATGACTGGATCACTGAAAGGAAAAGCACACAGTTTGTGGTTATATGTTGGTGGCTAGTACTGAATGGCTGTTTTTCGTGAGAAAAAAAGAGTGACATGTTGCTGTATAGATATGAAGCCATGCTGCTCAGAGATGAATAAATAAGAGAAAGAAGCCTGTAAAAAAGAGACCCAGCAGACACACAGCTGCTAGACGCTCCCATGACATCATTAGAGGAGACTCACAAGAACATGACCAGCTAGACGATCACAGCTGGTACGCCAGGAATGCTGAGCCAGCCTCGATCCATTTATCCACACTTCACACACACACACACACACACACACACACACACACACACACACACACACACACACACACACACACAGTGTGATACATGAAGAAATATGAGCTGTGGTGATAAGTGACAATTTTTACCAGAGAAGATACAGATGGCAAATCCACAGGCCACATGAAAGGTCTTGCTCTTGTCCAGCAGTCTGCGAGTCTTTCTGCTCGATACCTGTATGAGTGCGTGTGTTGTAATACAGATAAGTATTATCTTTGTGGCTGGGGATCTTAACTGATAATTTACTAAACTTATTACTGTTTTCTTGCATTTTTACATCTCAAACTGTAAACTGTCACTAATTTACCTTAATTCAGCAGTGATTTTACAATATATGAGCAGGTTTACATAAAAAATAACAACAAACCATCACAGATTTTTGAACAAACCCAACATTTAATTGTCTTTCATAAAGCCTGCAACTTCACATCTGACATAAGTAAAAACTTGGTGTAGCTGCACATTTGTTCCACTCAAAAAAAACTTTTTCTAAATCTAAAACAGCCCTGTGACTAGGAGTCATTTATTTTAAAGAATATAAAATTAGTAACAGCTGCTGACATTTCCAACTTATGATCAACTTGCTGTTTCAAATGGAAACTCAAACCCTCTTTTCTCTTTTCTCATCTTCCTCAGTGGTTGATCATTAGTGAGACCAACATGAGGTAACACTAACAAAACCAACCCCATTGATCAGTCTCCTCTTACCATGTGTGTTCCTCGGACAAAGGTGAGCAGGGAGCGACACATGGGCAACAGCACCAAGCTGCAGTTCAGGTTCAGTACAGATGCAGATGCCCTGCTGATGCACAGCCCTAGCTGGTAAAGAGACACACACACACACACACACACACACACACACACACACACACACACACACACACACACACACACACACACACACACACAAACAGTTAGGCAGGTTGGCTGAAATATGGACTGATTCAGCAGATGCAAAATGTTAATGGTCTGGGGGATTAAGGTACACACATTGGTGCTGCTCCTGTTCAGATTTGGACAATTCAGTATGTGCACTGAGAGCTTGAGGCATGACTTCAGTGTCACACAGGGTTATTTAAAACCATCTTTGTCCTCATTCTCAGTACGAAGAGCTAAGAATCGCTCTCCTGCTGAGGCTTTTCCTTTAAACAGAACACTTTAGTTTTAGTTTTGTTAGGACAATGACACACAGACTTCTTTGGTCATGTTTTTAAAAAATAATTCAACATTCACTTACATACAAAAAAATCTAAAATGAATGAGATTTCATTATTTTTATTATTGCCACCTACACAAGCAACCCTTCATTGCTGAATGCCTAAACTGTGTGCAAAGTAACATATCAATGTCTGAGTAATTGTGTTTTCAAAGTCTGACACTCCTCTCGAACGCAAATCTAATACAGACAAATATTACTAAATTACTTTTAAGTTGAAGAAAACTTAAAAATGCCACGTAAGTAAGTTCTGGAGTTTCAAGGATCTGTTTTCTATACAGATTTATGTACATTTATACAATACAATGATACTGAAATCCTCAGAAAGTGTAAGTCACACCAAATCAAAACAATTGTGTATCATGTCTTATCATGTTTGATGATGTCTTTCATGATTGATTAAACTCCCTTGCTTCCATGAGTTGTGTGTCACTGATGCTGCAACTGCTGACCATGTTGGCAAACAGACTAAGTCAGCAGCCCAAACCAGAATAACTAATTTTAGAACATCAGCATACCTGTCCCTGTCACCTCACCTCGTCTTTCCCTCACCTGTCAGCTGCCATTGACACAATGAACCATCAAATCATCTGTCCACTCTTCCCAAACTAGGCCTCTCTGGTACTGATGTTTGAGTCCAATCTCACAGTGCGGTCATATAAAGTGGTACCGCAAGGATCTGTGTTTGGCCCCCTTCTCTTCTCATTATACACTACCTCCCTTGGTCGGATTATTCACTCACATGGTTTTTGTTACCATTGCTATGTTGATGATACCCGGCTATATCTGTCCTTCCTGCCAGATGATTCCCACCGTGCACAGTAAAACCTCTGCAAGTGGTCCAAAATAAAGCAGCATGTCTGGTTTGGCACTAGCCAAAAACAGCTCATGTCACTTTACCTTTTAATACTGGCTCCCAGTTGCTGCTCGCATTAAGTTCAAGTCTCTTTTGCTCACATACAGACTGGCCACTAGCATGGCACCAACCTACCTGAATTCCCTCATTCTGGTTTATGATCCTTCTCACTCACTGCACCCCACAAAAAAGCAACAACCAGTCCTAGCACCACTACTTGGCAAGAAATCTCTTTGTGTCTTCAAAAATTCCTTTGAAAATCACTCACCTAATATGCTCTTTCACTCTGTCAATCTCTTGATGCTTCTCTAGCTCTTTTTCAAAATAAAAATGTTATTTGCCAGGCACTTGTATGTTACTTAACGCACCTGTCCTTTTCACTCGTGTCAGGTGAAATGTGGAACTGAGTATTGAGGCATTTATTCTCAACGACTTCTCCTTCATCTACTGTGGCTTGGATTGTACCTTATTTGCATGTTGCTTTAGACAAAAGCGTCTGGCAAATGAAAATGATACATTTCTACTACATCTCTGATCATCCTGTATGACTGATACAGCACCTGACACCGGGATGAAGAGTGCAGTTTACCTGAAGTGACTTGGGAGGGACGCCTGCTATGTAATCTGGCTTTACGCATCTCAAGCCACAGCTGAATAATCAAAGCTGTTTTCATGCGGAAACACTGGACGTACTTTGGGTTCTTCTAAACTCAGCACATTTAAACACTTTCTTGGCAGCCTCTATGAGCACTGCTGGTGCCGTCTCTTCTGATTATCCCTAAGAAACTGAAACAGCTAGTGTGAGAGATGAAGGTGTGTGAGTGAGTAGATCAGACAGAGAGAGAGAGAGAGAGAGAGAGAGAGAGACCAAAATCTTTAGAATATTAGACTCCTCTTGCAGCCTGAACTTGCTTCACACAGGACGGTGCTTGCAGTGGTGTTACAATGGATTCAAATGGTGGTAACTTTTCATGGTGACTAATGTTAACAAGAAGTCTACACTTCTCAAACCAATCTAATAGCATATCTTCTTCTCCGCTATGCATCAATTGTTTCTTTTAATGTGTTTTTCTTTTAACGCAGTGAATAAACAATTAATTATGTCTCATTTTTAGTGTGCAGGGTTGTTTTACATGATGAATAACCCTGACACTTTCTGTACTATTACTGTAGCCCACAGCATGCACAGGATTAAAGTAGACAACAAATACATGTCCTTACCTCTTCATCCAGTGTACGTGAACCTAATTACTAAAACTTGTAATAATTGATTTTTTTGGGCCACTTGAGGACAGTGGAAACCAATTGGGAACACAACACTTACACGTTTCTAAGTTGATTTGGGAAACTTGTAAGTAAATTAACTTAGTTAGCAAATATTTGGACGTGTAAATCCTGTAGTTACAGAGCAATTCTGAGTCATGGTTCTGGCCACCTGGTGGGTTTTTAGAGCTTTTTCACTGAAGACAGCCGAAAACAACACTACTATGAGAGCAGTGAGTTATACGACTGGCACAGGGTTTCTGAAAAGTGAGAATCAAAGTGAGAATCTACATATAGCAAGTCAAGGATAAATACTTAAAAGACTGACACCTTTACCCTTCCCACACACATTCACTCAACACAGCTTCCCATGGAAAAGCAGCTGACGGCAAAACCACAAACAGGAGATCTGATATCCTGCTCTCAGTACATCCCCAACACCCCGAACAACCAAAACACAGACACACACAAATACCTATACACACACTCACCATACAGGTGAATGAGATAAGATGCTTTTTGAAGTTAAATCTAAGTTCCCTTCAGAAGCTTTAAAGCTTTGAAATACATCTCCATCTTGCATGTGCTTACACACACAGAGACACACACACTCACACACACATAAACTTAAGCCCTCTGGCAAGGCATTCAGTCAAAGCAGCGTGCCCACACTTGCCCCTCTTTCCCCTGTGCCTCCCACTGTACAGGCTGTGCATGAATAGCTCACACATGCTGCTTGTTGCCTGCCACATCTTTTTTTCCCCTTTTTTATACACACACACACACACACACACACACACACACACACACACACACACACACACCTCTCAAACTGGATTTTTTTCCCACTGATTCAATGTTTTAAAGCAAAGTCATTTGCAAATAATCCCAATGTATTATATTTACTTGATTCTTTTATGTGTCTGTATGCCCTTAAAGGTCCAATGTGTAAGATTTAGGAGAAACTATTGGCAAAAAGGGAATAATCATAGGTATTAATGTATAATCATCTGAATATAGGCATCGCTGTGTTTCTGCTACCTTAGAATGACCCATTTGTATCTACAGACGCCACGGGTCGCCTTCCATGGAGTCTGCCATGTTGAATTGCCATGTTTCTACAGTAGCCCAGAAGGGACAAACCAAACACTGGCTGTAGATAGGGCCTTTTGCGTGGCCACCGTAGTTGCTCCTGTACACTTCACAGCCCGTTCTCATTTCCAGATCGTCAAATACAGACGCGAGGGGTGTTCAGAATCGTCACAATCTGCAACCTCACCGTTAGATTCCACTAAATCCTACACACTGGTCCTTTAAATGTAATAATTATAAGCTTGTGGTATGTTGTATATAAACCATTGGAGGATTTTTGTCTTTGCTGATGCAATAAAAAAAGTAGTCTAGTCTAGCACCAAAATCCTCCCAAAAGGTAGCTGCTGAGTTATTGCACATATCTGCTGAGTCCTGATGAGCCGGATGCACGCTCCACTGATATCAACGTACTGTGCTGCTGACAATGTTTTAAAGTAATGACACACGTAAGAATACAAACTATTAAAATCATGATGATGTGACATTTCCTGGGGTCTGTACCAAACAAACATGTTTTTTTAAATCTGAAGAACAAGCTTTGTAGGTCAGGTGTTTGCAGAACTACAGTGCTACAGTATTATAATGCTGTTTGCACTTGGCCGTGTTCTGATTTTGATCATATTTCGATTAATTGTGCAGCCCTAGAGCAAAATGCAGCTGGAGAACAACAGGAAGCCTGAGATTGGACAGTAATGTTAGTAGCATTTGTCTGATTTTCTCAGAGGACAAGGACAGTTTTCACTGATGCAAACATGCATCAAATACACACACACACACACACACACACACACACATCAACTTGTGACAACAATTACACCAACTCTCACATGAATCCACAAGCACCAAAATCAAATTCCTGATTCTCTCTGTGAGTGTGTGACTGTGTGCCCATGACACTATTGGCTGGCACAGACTGCCCAACCTGTGAACACACACACACACACAAACGTGGCTAACTGCTGTCACAGAGTTTAAAGCCACAATTCAGACTCATTAAACCTGCACGTGACAGTCAACCATCCATCACAAAGCCTGCTCCTGTGATATAAAAAAAGGTTCCTGAAGCCAGAAAGCAGCAGGATTCTTCAAAAACAGAGATTTAGTCTATGATGATAACCGACAGTCTGATTGTTGGCAACTGGACAGGCACTACAAAGTGTCACATGACCAGTTTTGAAGGCTATATCAGGATTCAAGAGCAAAAATAATAAATGTTTCTACTCTAAATAATTGTCATTGCTGAGGATGCAATCAATACTATTTTCTCTCATTCTCTGGATGAAGCTCTATGGATACGGGTCGCTGATTTCTCTTCATCTGAACTCTTTTTGTCAACAATTACACTCGTGAATCTCACACAATCAAAACTTAAAAGCATGGATGTGCAGATGAGTCAGTGCAGATCTTAAAGGCCCACACACACACTCAGACACCCGATCAAGTAAAATAACTGTGTGAGTGGACCACCGGTGTGTACAAGCTTCAAGAAGTGCTTCCTTGTTCACTCACTCACTACCACCCGTATAAGAGACATTCCTCATTCAGTTCTGACTAAATAATCATTTTGTGTCATTGCTATAAAGTGTAGTTTCACACAATTGTAATGTTTGCATTTATGTGGCACACTGCATTGTGGGACAAAGTGTGCACACACTCAAATATGTGGAAATATTTACATAGTTGTTAATAATAATATTAACTCTGTTGTATTCAACCATCAGTGTGACAGTGAGCCAGCTTGAACAATACCAGGACCCTGAAACTGAAGCAGCTAAATGAAATTCAGCCGTCATTTCTACCAGTAAAACTACATCAGTAAATGTGTCAGGTCTTACCCCAAGCATCTTGTAGAGGTAGTGATACTGCTGTCCAGTGGAGTACAGCAGGAAGGTCTTTAGGAACAGCCAGGTGTTTGTTCCCAGCCACAGCATCTACACACACACACACACACACACACACAACCAGCACAGGATGTACAGGATATAGTCCAAACCTACAGCCTTATGTTGATTATCACTGTCAATACAAATAAACTGAAATACAAATATTTCTGGTAATTGCGTTTAGGATTTACATTTGATCTTAACTATGTAAACCCATGGCATATAATGGTTGTAGCAGCCTGTATGGATGCAGCAGAGTGAGCATTAACAAACTGAATAACAGTCATTTAAAACAGTGTCTTTCTTCAGGATGGAAGGTGGTAAGCCTAAAGAACTCGGACAACAAGTGTTGCAGCAGCTCGTTAACAGGTAAAAAAACAAACATATCCATGAACAGCCTACGATACGTGTGGACCGAACCGCTCTGACAAAAGTTCCCCACCAAGACCAAGTGCTTTCCCCCCTCGTTGGCGACCCAGCTCCGCGCCGACATGATGCCTTCACCGACTGCAGCTGCCCAAACTTTTCAGTTCAGCCTCGGTGCGGCTGAGAGGTGAAGTCCCGTCCTCCCCGCAGCTCTGTCTGTCTTTGTCTGCCTGTCTGTCTGTCTGACCGGCCGGTGTCTGCTCCGTCCTCCCTGCACTCCTCCGTCACACCGCTCCTGTCTGCTCTGAGCGCATTTTTGACTTTTCATCCCCCCACAAGTCTCAGTGGCGAGGAGCTCCGTCTGCAGCACATCCGTCCCTGAAACTCCTCATCTCATTTCTGTCTGCTTCACGGTCGACCTGGAGGCCAAAGCAGCTTGAGTACAAAACTGACAGCGGGGTGAATAAAGTGAACCAATAAACAGGCAGGAGAACAATAAAGATCGCTCCACCGCTCCGCACTTCTCCATCTCGGCCACCAGGGGGCGCCACAGCCTCATATGTCTCACTGCAGTGCGCTCATAAATAAAATATAATAAAACTTATAAAATAAACTTTCACCCATTACTATGACTGTCAAGTTGAGTTTGCACGGTCTATAAGGTTATATGTGGTGTAACTAACAGCATTATTAATTGTTGATGACTCATTAAGACTTTATATTGACATTATTAGTAATAACTTTTGGGTTTGACTGGTAATCTGTTTACTAACATCTCATTAACACTTGCAGTTGCAGATTTGATCGATTACAATCCTTTGTTAATGACTTATTTACATATACAGCAGCAGATTGGGTGGCTTATTAGGAAGAGAGAGTTATAAATAGATTCTCAACATCTTATAACAGCTTTTTTACCTAATTAAAACTATTAAAATGACCTGTCGCTCACCCAAAAGTAGTTTAAAACTGATGCAAGACAAGTGCACATATGATTAATAAACCCATTAGTTACAACTTATAAAGCCATTATAAAGGATGCCTCATTAGAAAGTAACCTTAAAGTGGTAATTGCTTATAATTGATGCTTCAAAGGTATAATATATAATATTTATTTAACATTCTGACATGTGTTTTAATCTCTGATATTGATATAGTTTATCAACCTGTAGACTAATTATCTGATCTTTTGGGGAAATGAGCCACAAGCGCTTCACATGTGTGTGCAAGTCCAAGTACTACCACTGTACATGCCATCTCCCTGTGCTATCAGCGCCATCTTGTGTCTTTATTAAGAAATGCGGCTGAAGCTGTGAAAGAGAAGATTTGTATTGACAATGTTTATCTTGAATTAAAGGACAGTACAGCAGTTTCATGGTTTAGTTCATTCTTGTCCTCGGAAACAGCGATTGGGAGATCATATCACATGAGCTTCATCAGCAAATGAATGTAACTCCAGAACAGCTACTCAATTGACCTTTGGGGTGAGGATTGTTTTTTTTTTGTATCACTTTATCACTCCCAACTTTGTGGCTGCAATGTGGGAAAGGCCCTTGTGCTAAAATGTGCAAAAATAAATGGTTTCCTGTGTTTGATTTGTTTAACCCCATTCTACATCGTTTGAGCTGAAGTGGAATGCAGACAGTGGGCCAGATCTTATTACCCAACATCACTGGTGAATACTCTTCAGGCTTAGTTGATGCAAATTCCCAGCAACCAGCAACCTTAAATCTTGTAGAAAGCCTTTTCTGAAGAGTATATGATGTGTATATAATATGGAGGAAAACAATATCAGATCAGATCAGATCGTCATCATCAGGGTTGTTTCATGCCCATCGTGGTTTTCTTTGGGATTTCTGGATCATAAACATTCATGTTTTGCTCTACATGTAGCCATAATATGTAATGCATTAAGTGCATTGGGTTTTTAATGGGGAACAGCATGTGTTTTTTCACTGGTAATACTTTGTGTTTGCCCCATCCATCCTTTGTGTTGTCCCGGCTCTGTTATACATCTGGCGTGTGTGTCAGATGTGTGATGCTTTGTAGGCTAGTATTTTTGTTTTACAAGCTGTGACCATAGGAGTATCTGTTCAAACCCCAAAACAAAACATCTGCAATAATACTCTCCTTGATAGAAAAAGGTTACTGAGGTTTTCATACTGTGTTTTGATTCACACATATTCTTTCAACCACACAGCTGCATGACTTTAGTCACCACAAAATAACCAGTTGTTATATTTTTGATTGTGTAAAAGTAATAAACCAAACAACACAGTTGCAATTAACTCAAAATCAATCAATATACCCGTTCAAGGCAGCTGGTTGAATTAAAACAGTGTGTTGAGGACGAGGCAGAGCTGTGGTCTGTGTCCTCCCTACATTCCTGAGTGCAGAGAGCCTCCTCCCCGTTTCACGCTCCAGCCCACTGCATGAAAGAGTCGTCCTCCACAGCACACAAGCACGGGGGGTCAAGCACGACTACGACCCGTATTTAAGTGTGGGAAAGAAAGACTGTCTATTGCAAAATACTTCACACCTGTAACTTGAATTTCCTGAACTGAAACTGAGCTGAAAGTGAAGAGAACCAGGCTTTAAAAACTGACTTAATCTATGCTAACATGTCTTTTTCTGAAAGATTCATACCTGAAACACTGTTTAGTGTTTTGCTGGTTGATTGGAAGCTGTGGTGACCGACTTTATATGTCACAGTTTTATGGATTTAGTCTAAATTTTAACTCATATCTCATAATTTTGATTTGGAAAGTCTAAAGAGTGACTTATACTGCAAGTACTTCTACATAATGTGTAGAAATGGGCTTCCATGGGCAGATTTGATCACCATCATACATATATTTTTTGTACTTTACTGGCTTATTATTATAAACTTTGACCCATTTACCTAAACATACAGAGCTGTTTTGTCACATATGTTCAGCTTGTTGAACTTTATGTGTAGTCTTATAATATATGTATAAGACTACACACTCATTTTTTAACTATAGCTAGTAACTGCAAGACACCTTTTCCACACGAGCTCAGGCGATTATCTATACATGCGATACATCTGTCCTCAGAGTGGATTCGGCCATCTAATTTCAGGTTGGTTAACTATGAGTCAGCACTGGAACGACCAAGGTGCACAGTCATCAGTCTACTGGCCAAACATAGCACTGTACTCCTCTCCAACTTTCTACTCACCAACCCTCCTCCCTGCTCTCTCTCTCTCTCTTTCTCTCTCTCTCTCTCTCTCTCTCTCTCTGCCTCTTTGTCTCACTCTATCTCGCTCTGCCATTCACCCACAGTGCACTACTTAAACAAATTACTCTCTATCTCTGCGAGTGAGCTCTGCAGAGTCAGACGTGTTGCTGTGTGGAAGTCTCTTGGATATACTGCTTCAAAATGAGAAGGGAGAGCAGGTTAATTTGGTGGATCTGGTGGATTGTGGTTGTGACAGCTTTGTTCTTGCTGGGCTTCGTCATAGGTAAGATAAGATAACAGAAGCTTACACTGAACTGTGTAGAGAGAAATGTAAGTCAATAATCTGCAAATGACACTGACTATGCTCTGCGTGTTTGTTTTTAATTAAAGATTCCTTATTTAACAGTGTTATAATAGTAAAAATAATGTGATAGTTGACCATGACGTGTGTATAAATAGAAGTGAAGGCAGTTGATGAAATAACAAATGTAGATAGACCTAAGGAGAACATAAGGTTTTTAGTTAATTTCTGTAAAACTACTATCACAAACTATCAACTACTACAATCTACTCAGTGCTGTTTAAGTTGGATGTTGTGTGTGTATGACCTTTAGTTTGTCACTACTCTGACACATTTCACATCTCTCTGCTCACAGCAGGTTAACACATGCTGCCCATAACCACAACTCCACTCAAAATCTAATTTGTAACACAATGGGAAGCTTTTGTTGAGAGCAAATACAACTGGGCAGTGAGTGACAGATATTATGTGTGTTTCTCCTTCTTTGTCTGACTTGTATTACTGTGATTTTGTGTGGTCAGTTTAATCCCATCATAAAGTCACACAGTGCATTCTTCTTGAGAGAACTAACACTGTCGTTCAACTCTCTGTGTGTGCTGTAGGCTGGTTTGCAAAGCCCACACATTCAAACGCGGAAAATAACAGTGCTTCCAACAAGTATCTGAGGGAGTTTCTGGATGAAATGCAGCCAGACCAGATCAGAGAGCATCTCAGGTAAAAGAAAACACTAACAACCCACTAAACAAATGTCCATTGGCACAAGTAATCCAAAGCAAAGGACAGTAGACGGTGTTCTTCTTTCCAAGAAGTTTCTACTCCAAATCTCATGGGGGATTTTCTTGAATCCATGTGGCAAAGGGCAGTGAGTGGTGAATGGGGAAAGGCCCAACAATGCCACCTGGGGAATTGCACCCCAGTAAATGCTTTAACCTCGAACCGTAAATGTTATTTAGATAATTAATAAAAGCACACAGACTCGTTACTGAGGTAAGACAGAGATGTGTTTCACAATTAATCAAAATGTTTTATTGAAATAATCAAAATAATCAACACAAACAGGGACTGGAGCTGTTGAGAAAGAAAGATTATTAATAAGCTAAGATGTGATTAATACTTTAACTTTAAATAAAACTATTAGTTAAACATATTAATAAGTAAAATGATTAATCCAACCTAAAGTAAGCAAAACTAAGGAGAGTGAGCTGAGGCTACTTGACTGAGGCCGACTACCCCAAGGAGTGCCCAGGGGTGCTACCTTCAGAGCAACACAGCAATCCTCGGTGCAGTCTACAAATGTGTCCCGGTGCTCTTACTCACATGCATCAAGAGTGGGAATCTCACCAGGAGTGCTTAGCCTCATCACAATATGGACCTCTGCTTAAAAAAAAAATTAGACAATTACATTATCAAATCTTTTTCGTGAGTTTTGCAGCCACCGTAGTTTCTCCTACACACTTCACAGCCTCATTCTTAGGTTGTCAAATACAGCCTGGAGCGATGTTCAGTTAGCAGCAAACTTCCCCTCTAGATTCCACTAAATTCTACATTGGTCCTTTAAGGGGTTAACTTCACTTGTTCCCATTATATGATTATAGACTATATGTCTTAAATATTGTAAAAGTTAGCATGTTATCATGCTGAGCTAACATGGTAAACATTACATTCGCAAGCTTACATGCGAAATGTCACAGGCTGAATATTTTTCCCTCAATCCACAATTTTGCTTAATGAATGAAAATGAGCATTTCAGCCTCTAGTGTGACAGTAGACTCACATGCCTTTTTCAAAGGGACCTTTTGAAATGTCACCATTGGAAAGGCACATGTTAATAATGGTTGAATTCCATTTAGCCGCTTCATTTTCAAGATCCTGGTGTTGTGCAACTGAGACATCAAGAGCTGCTTTGCATCAATATAACCTACTTTTTTCTTAACTTTTCCTTTTTCTTTATAAAATGTTTTATAATAAAATCTAAAAAGCCAAAAGT